CCATGTCATATAAAGTGAAAGCTTAAAATATTAAATGATGACCATTTTGCATTTACACTTCTTATTTATTTTGAAGGACTAACATAAATTGCAATAAGACCATTTACCTTGAGGTTTTTGAAGACCAAGTTATATCGTTTGTCCATTTTATTGTTCAAACAAACACGTTAAGTATGTGTAATATATGAAAAGTAGGAATGTATTGTTTGTGTTGTGTTGAAAATCGTCACACGACATTCTGGAAAAAAGTTGCATAAATTATTAAAATTAGAGCAAACCTGTGAATCTGCTTATGAGTCGTAATGCTTATCGGCGATGATATAACATGTAGACATCAGTTGTTTTATATTTTAACATTTTCTGTTGACACTGTGTGTTTCATATTCTAGATATACATAAATTTCAATAAATTTTAAGTCGTTGATAGATATTTATTCTATTTTGCATCGAAGTTGAAACATTGAGTTTATACTATATTTGTATTGCCATAATTAAACTTGCGGACATCGTGGTTAATAATCAAATTAGCTAAACCTGTTCCACGACAATTTATTGATTTTAATCTAAGGTTTAAAATACGTAGTTTAAGTTTGCCACTTGTTAGTTCACCGTGTTGTTGGATGTTACGTAATTGAAACGTTATCTTATATATAATCATTCAGTTCTTAAATATAAAACAATTAAAGCTTAAATAATACAGTCAATTTGTTATTATTAACAATGAAGAGTAATCAATTTAGATTTTGTTTATATTGCTTAGTATCATGTTTGTCGTGTGCCATCACAGTCAGTGAAAATAACAATAAAAATCTCAAATTTGCAAGAGAAAGTGATCTTGATGGTTTTACGTGTCCAGAAGAGAATACATTATATCAAAAAGACAAGTTGAGTACATCACAATGTTTGGCAAGATGTGCTGATTCTGCAGAATGTTTCGGTGTTTTCCTTTTACGGGAAAATTCCCAATGTGTTGGATGCAACGACAAGTTCCTATCCAGTGACAATGCTCCAGCACGCCTCGGCACAACTTTCTACAGACGTCGATGTAACTTTTTATCTGTTTTTCATATTTTATCGTTACAGTAATGACACTACTTCTAAAATGCTACTGAAGCAATTAACAATAATTCTATTTTTTTAAATAGTCAAAAAGTGTTCTATTTCGATTTCAGACAAAATCCAGGTTTTAAGTTTAACCGAACATTTTCTTTTTACTTTTATCTGACGGTAGACTTATTGATTAGTTTTAAATTTACTTAAAGACAAAATTTATGATTTACAATGGTTTACCCTCGCTTAAGAAAATGACTTATACACTTCATTTATTACTTTAAATTTTATTGAGTTCTGACTGCATTAACCTGAAAGGAATATCTTTTCCTGTGTTTTTGTCCGTACCATGTATTCCATACCAAATACCTCTATATGTATAATTATTAATTTGAGAATAAGACGTGTTTGCTCGCATATATTTGTTACTTAAATTATATACTTAAATATATTTAAAAATCGCTAAGACACTTCTATATATTATACCATCTTTTACAAGATGTCTGTTTGAATATAATGATAGATGTGACTACTTTAAAACCAGTGTTTACTTTAAAACTTCTTGTGAAACAAACGCCTTAAAGGAGCGTGTTATTCCTTTTCAAATATAGTAATGCTTAATTTATTGTAATATATCTAAATATATTAAAGTGTAACACGCAGATAATAAATTTGTTATTAAAAGTCGTCATTATGTTACCTCTTTTTGTGAATTTTATACATTTCAGCTTACCTGATTGTTGAAGAAGCAAAGACATGGGCTGATGCAAAGGTAAAATATATAAACTATTTCCTGTGTTCAATATTATATAGTTTTCTCATAGTATTGTTTGATTATAATTTGAACATTTATTTTACAAGAATTTTCAATCCAATTTTTTGCGTAAGTGTTAAAGTTTTTACTCCAAGAAGTTCTGAAATGTTCAAATATATATTGAGTGATAAAAAGACGTTTACACAAAAGTGTTTGTAAACATTTATACGTCACGTAATTCATTTATGATATTATTAGACGTCAGAATGTAACAACCCTTACATGTCAACATTAATTTATGGTCCTAACGCGTACACACCGGGTACTGGGTTTAGATATCAGCTATAATAGCTTACATGTCTTTACTGGATAATTTGTCCGATATAAAATAGATTGAGCGACTCAATAACTATAGGGATGTGTATTATAAAGGATTAAATAAGGAGATATTTCTAAATTCCAGAATATATTTTTATTAGTTTTTGAAATTTTATTTCGTCTACAAACGGAGTACATTTTCGGAACGCCAGGGATTGAAGAGGCGCTTCGAATTGATGGTCTTCAAAAAATCGATAATCTGCTAAATGACTCTTTGCTGTCATTTTGATCATCTGATTATACTTTCATATGTTACTTTAAATTGAACGTGCAATATAAATATATATATATATTCACAAATTCTTCTATTTTAAGTACATTTCCTTTTTTGGGCGACTAAATGGCGGAAAATCAGTTTGATGGGGTTTAAGGGTAATTTGGTCATTTTGGAAGGGTTGGATTAAATATGGTTATTAATCATTTAAACCTTTCAATAATATGTTAATTTTTACCGCCGAGACATCATGTCTTTGTATGTAAATCTTTGAAGAAAGAGAAAGCGTTTATCTTTTTTCTGCTTTTAAGAACAATGCTTATGATAAACGTGCCAGATTAATACGCACCTTGGTAGAACCAGGAAAGTTAATTTTGAAACGTCTTTTCACCACTCTAAATAACACACTCTAATATTTTATTTGAATGAACATATTTCAAAATATCAACATAACTATGTTTGAAGAATTTATTTGTCTTATAATTCGTTACAAACATATGATGTCACTCGAATTAAAATATTTATAACTTATTTGTGAAATTGATTAATACAAACTAGCATTAAAATTTTTAGATGCATTGCTCGGAGCTTGGAGGCCATTTGCTTGATATAAAGTCATTGGAAGAAAATACATTCATAGGCAGTCTCATAAGTAAGTAAACATTAAACCATTTGAACAGTTCATCATATATACATATCAGAATTTGTTAAAATATTTATTTGAAAGCCACAATAAATGTCTTTTTGTTGTATTTAATAAGTTTAATACAATCGTTAAAACCTATTATTTCTTGTGTTCATTTATATGTAATTGTCTCTATTACAGCGTCACGATATTTGGATTCATGGCTTGGAGCTACAGATATTGATGAAGAGGGTTTATTTGTTTGGGAGGAGGGAAGCGAAGTTGCCAAATATTTTGAAAACTGGGCAGACGGAGAGCCGAACAATTCACGTAACAAAGAACATTGTGTATTTATATCACGTAACAGTCACACATGGAATGATAGTCCTTGTTATCTACAACGGAGTAGTGTTTGTGAATTTGACTGAATGAAACGTTTTTATTTCGGGCGATATTGTCTATCTGTTGACACCTTATAAAGCTGGCGTGTTTATGTTTTTTCATTAAACACACCATTTCCTTGTTGATCTTGTTTGCCATATTTCATATAATTTAAAAAGATCCGTCTCTGTCTTTAGTGGTTGAAATTGTATTTGGACTAATGAGATTGTTCCCTTTTTCAAATCATTACGTATATTTAATCTTTTTAATCGGTACACGCATGTTGTTGGATGCTGACCCGTAAAATCATCGTATTTTATTCATTAAAAACATTATTTAAACAACTGAGTAGGATAATTTCAGTATAAATAACACGTCTTGCGACTAAGTCGTGCGGGTCTGCATATTAAGTATAGGTTAAGAGGAGCTGTTCGACCAATTTTATTTGGAAGACGCTTGCAAATGAACACCAACCAATTTAGCCCTTTCGCTGCCAGAGGGTTATTGATTTATTGATCACCTATTTGCCAGAGGGTTTTCAAAGAAATTACTATATTATAATATTAAAATAATTAATATTATGTGTTATTAGTATTATAATAATTATATATATTTCCAAATCTGCTAGTATAATAATAATTATTGTCGATGGTATAATTATCTATATATTTATATTTATTATTATTATTATTATTATTATTATTATTATTATTATTATTATTATTATTATTATAGAAACGGCAAAAGCCGTCCATATGGCAATTACGCCGAAAATAATAGGGACGGCATACGGCGTCTTTATGGCAGTGAAAGGGTTAATGTTTTTAATTATTTTTATAAACAGTCAATTTTCTTTCAACCGACCGATTCACCATAGTACATTTATAACGAGTCATTTGAAATACTATACTGTTGGAAAAAGGCGTAATTTGAAACAAACAAACAAACATTTAAAATACTGAAATCGTGTTGGACAAATAACATATTCAAACACTAAATTCCATTTATGCTAACTAGCGAAGTGTTATCTATATTATGAAAAACATTTAGTATTAAAATAATTTTTGTCAAATGAGTTGGCAACATTTTTCAAATTTTGAAAGAATTTATTTTAGTAAATCAGGTAGATAGAATGAAATGATTTACCGACCTTATTCCGCAGGTGTGCCTTGGAGGCGGAGCTACAGGGATTACATTCAAACGATACACAAGATAACAGCTGTTAGTTTAGACGCTCGTCTAATAATACCGTGTTGAAATTTAATTTACATACAATACTGTTATATTGTCGCATTAAGGACTTAAGGAGGAAAAAACAATTTATACTGTGTTAGAATGTCTTATATTTAATCAGGAACTTAGTTTCAATCCCTTCTTTATAGATATTACCAAAACCCTTTAAAACCCTTTTAAGATATTTCTTTGTTTTTACGAAATCTTATTTCGTATTTTCGAATTAATATTTCGCAATTACGACAAAATATTTCGTTTTTACCAAATAACACGAAATAATATTTCGTTTTTACAAAATAGTATTTTGTAATTACGAAATAATATTTCGTAAAAACGAATACATATTTCATAATAACCAAATAATATTTCGCAGCAACGAAATAATATTTCGAAAAAACGAATTAATATTTCGTAAAAACGAATTACGTCCCGGGGGAAAAGTGTGGAAAAATGTCTGCTTAGGGGCTCCGTAATCATGCAATACATATGTGTAAATATTTTTTTCTGCTACATACGAACATGTTTGAAGGGCATTTGATTTGCCGGGAAAATGTTTATAGATATGGAAAAAAATTATCTCTTAAAGGCATGTGACTCTCAATAATTTACAGTCGTTTACTCATTTGCTAGAACAATTATCAGTTTGTAATTTTTTATGAATTTAATGTAAATTGAACTGTGATCTATGTATAATCAAATGATAAGAACACATACTTTTGTTAAATTTTTATGTAATATTATAATTATGTATACATTGTACACATTCAAATAGCTTTTACTAACATTGTACTTGTACCTAACCATATTCATTTATGTAAGCATAAATTGTGTGTAATAAAAGAATACTTTTGCTACTGCTTTAGTGAAATTGTGGACATTCTATTTATACCTAGTGGATTTAATAATGCATTTCAGAAAATGTCTTTTTTATCATATGATGAAATTTGGGTTTCCAATACTAACATATCTAATTGTAAATACCAAATAGTTCAATTTGTAGTTATGTATAATTCATTACTTCCTAACATTGGTGAGATTATTAATTAGTACTCGGATTTATTGTAGTTATCCAAACACAAAACCATGCGTTATGTTTATGACACTTTCAAACCTATTGTTGCCTATAAATGGACTTTGAATACATAATTCTTATCTAACAAGTGTATAAAGACAAGTAAAGTGTATTGTTATTATTAAGCTCATCTTTACTACTTACATTTAAATACTGATTGTAAATCTTATGATGTTATACAAGGGTTGTTCAAAAAGTAATAGGACTGCAGTTCTACTGTTCACATTTTACGATTAACATGCACAATTTTACAAGAGAAAACTATCGGAACAAATCCTCTATATACAGTGAAAACAATCAATAAAATATGTCAACAAAATAACGAGTCTGTGAAAATTTCAAATGACAAGGGGTATGCGATCCGGCGCACGCTAACGGTACAAATTAATATATGACGTGTGTTACGTCGTAAATTCCAAAACAAAATGTAACAAAGCGTCCTTCCTTCTGAAAGTATTCTCCCTATTGCTCAAGTCGTCCGAATCATGTAACTATGACCAGACCTCGTTTATGTAGATGATTCGGGAAGAAAGCGATCACATTTTCGTTTTAATCTTCGAAAAGTTTATTTTTTATAATCTGGGATTCAACAGGCATGAACTTATTATTTAAATGAAAAGGCGAGTTATAGTATTAATTTATACATGTAAGTTCTTAAAACAATATGATTATGTAAAATAAGTATGATTAAGGAAAAAATAACATTTATCAATCTAAAAGTATCTTTTTTCTACTAAGAACCGGCTGTCATTTATCAAAAGTAAATCGGAGAAAATAATATTGAGTCAGATTATTTCTAAAACCATTTGATCTATCTTTAATTCTTTCAAGTTATTTCTCTCTAAATCTCTTCTGTTTACAGTAAAACATTTCAGAATCACTTTTATCCATTACTTTTGAAGTGTTAAATTGGTCCTCTTCAGTTTTGGTCATTTCAAGATTATTGATTAAATGTTACGCTTTAAATCATGTTTTTTCTTATTTATTGATAATACTCCCTTAAGTAACTGATTAAATAGAAACTATCCCTATTTTCCTATTCTTGCAGGAGTTCATTTTAAGACAGCCTATATAAGGGAGATTTTTTACCATTCTCATTGCTTGTGTTCACGGACAATTAGGTAATTTTTACCTGTTAAAGGGCTAAGCCACCTACACCTCTCTCTTAAAAATATCTTCTTTTTTTTCATCTTTTTCGTTAAAAGCTTTGTTGACGTTTTTTGACTCTAAATATTTCATATTATAGAATTATATTTCATTTGGTATTGTTATGAATCAGTAATTTCTTAGTTAAACTCATGTCAAATAAAACAGGATTAAACTTGAAAATTTTATGTTTTTTACGTTTTCAATATAAATCAATTTATTTTCTTGTCGGCATGGCAACACCACCAGGCTCATGGTGAATTCCTATTGAAAGTGCCTAAAAAAAAGGTTGCATTTTCTGATCCTTTTGAAGAAAGAAAACCAACTTGCATTGATAATCACTTCTTAGTACCTGGAAAAAACACCAATCTATGCATGAGGTATTTAATATATGTATATTCAAACAGAATACACTGGCCCGAAACATGACGAGTAAACACAAGCCGTTATATACAGAAAATGAGCCTAGTTTTATTTCGGAGCAGGTTAAAAATGAAGATGTTATAAATAGAAGCACTAACACACCAAATCTTAGTGATTATTCCTTTTATAACAATGAAAAATTGTCACAATTTCAAAGCACTCCAAACCAGGGATTTTCTCAAGATGACCGTATTAGAACAGAATATAATAGGAGTAGAATGAATGTTATACAACAGAATGAGGGGTCGCCTCATAGTTCGCATTATTATAACAGTAATGGGCCACATTTCGAGCAAAATCACAATACAGTGACGGCAGCAATACAAAATACTCACATTTTGGGATCTGCTCAAAGTGAACATACTGATTCCAGGTAGGGGCCTCCTCAAATAATGCAACTTAATGAGCATGTACATCAGGGGGCGTTTCAAATTGATCGCAACAATAACTCAGTTGTGGGGTCTTTGCAAAAATAGGCATGCGCTCAAATTGAACATGTCTGAACGTGATAAATCAAAAAGTGTTCTTAGCAAGCTTATAGATGGATCTTATCAAGTAAGGCATTTTAATTATCAAAATCACAACATAGTGAATGGGTCATTTCTGCAGGATAGACAACCTGTTGGCTCAAATCCCAGTAAAGACTAAAAAATGGTGTGTTTCAACATTATATATCTGGGTACTATCAAGGAAGTAAACCTCAAACAACAATAAAAAATCAACCCATATCTACTGTCAGACAACAGCCTAACTTATCTGACACAAGTAACCAGGTTATAAATAATAACTTTCGGCAGAGTATGTCCCAAGGTTTTGATCAAAATGTAGACCTTTCATTTCGCATTCCTCGCAATCTATAGATAAACAAAATAACGGGCAACACACAATGAATAAATTTTGTTATGAGGGGGGGGGGCATCTCCTACAAACAATAAGTTACAATAGTTAGTTCATATAACAACCCTCACATAGAGGGAAGGATACATTACAAAATAACTAATGTTAACCAGAGGCCGTCTCAAAGTGGTCAATTGCAAAATACAAATGCTGCTGGTAAACCATATGAGTATGTCGATATGCACAACAATACAACTTATATGCAAACTTTTACAAACAAAGATTTTCATCAGGGACAAGTTCAAGATTTTCAAAACCCAAACTTGAATGTCATAATAAAAAGGATAGCGTCCTTTCTTGACAACACCTTCAAAATGATAGAGTTTTAAGTCAAGGTCTAACTCCTAATATCTCTGATAATAGAGCACACACACAATCAGTAGCAAGTACAGTTTAAATACATCAACAAAGTCCGAACAAGGGGGGCATATCAAAACTTGTCTTTCATACGCCATAGTAATTGTCATATCCCTAAACACAGTTACATTTCGGTTCCAAATGATAACATGGAAAGACAGAACTCTTTTATTAGAGAGAGAAGGGATCGAGGCACCCTATGTTACCCTAATGACCAATATGTATCGTATTTGAATGATACTTGGCATCAAGATAGACATTTACCTGCATTATATTAACAGAGGAATACAAAAAAATCACAGAAATTTACTATATGATGATTAATTATTGATTGATATTGCCAAAGCACGAAGGGACGACACATCTCTCTTTGTGTTTTCACTTTTTTTCGGATTTCCGCTTGGTTGCATCGAAAATCCGAAAGAGCGAAAACACGAAAAATTGACAATGTCCAACTTTGTCGTTCATTCGTGTTGTCGCATTTTCTCATTTTGAGGCTTAGTAGCGAAAATACGACATGACGTCAATCAGCCACCATACTTCTAGGGCGTTTTATTGACAAGACATCAAACACCATATTATTTTAATGGCACATTGTAATCTTCTGTATTACAATATAAAAGTAGACAATGAAATACAACTAACTGAATTACGGATTTTGATGAAGTGATATCATTGTAAAGCTAACATGTTTATCTACCCGATAACCTTTATTTCCTCTTGATTTTCACGATTTTTGATGCATTTATATTTGAACACTCATCGTAAAATGTAAAGCAACATATCGGACAATCATGAGCAACAATTACGTTACCACAAAGCATGATTGTAATACTTCAGGGGGAGTCCCCCTCATCGCCAAGAAAATTTTGGACTTGTGAGAGGCTGAAAATGACCCCAGATTGATCATAAGGTAACGTGTAATCAACGCTGAAAAGCATTTGACTCTTTCTCAATCCATTGAGAAGTTGCAGCACTTTGAAATCAATTTTGATGGAAAAAATCAACGCAAAATAGTGATTTTTGGCAATTTTGAGATGTCCCCTCATTGCCATAGTAACAGAAAATTTAAGCCTGAGCATGTTGTTGCAAGGGCAATGGTCCAGTCAACATTTGTGCCAAGTTTGATTAGTGTTGAAGCAGTTTTTATAGTATTATAGCAATTTGAACTTGTAGCGGGAGACTTTTCAATGAAAACAGCCATTTTTCACAAAATGCTCATGAAGTAATGGGTTAACGACAAAATAAGCAATGAAATAAACAGTCGTTCTTAATTGATTTTAATATCATTCTTAATTGTTTTCAATAATAAAGTTTCAATGAGGACAAAAGCATTAAGGTGTTGATTATACACTACATTAGAAATATATAGACACTGTTCTCTTTTTTGCATATGTTTGTTGATTAATAAACTAATGTTGCTGTTAAGGGCATAATGTATTATATTACATGTATACTCTAATATAAATCATCAATTCCAAACCGATCAGAAAGTTAATTTACCATACTAGGCTTTAAAACAAAATTAATGTTTGTTCAACATCAATGAAAGGACGTTGTTGATATCATTACAATAAGATTAAACTAAAGATAAAACGTAAATATTTTACAGTATCATTTCATACATTCTATTGAAACGTACACTCCAACCTGTATTATGCAAGTTCTGATAATAAAATTGCAATCATCGCTCAAAGAAATTATTGTCACAACTCTCAATACATACATAAAAACACTAAATAAAACATAAATCAGATCATTTACATGCAAAATATCTCTTTCCTATCCAAGCATTCTATTACTTTTTACGTTTCATTATTCATAATTTCATTATTTTCATAATTGAATCCAAAATTGAATTATGTTACCACATAAAGATGGGGGTATAATAACTGCAAACACTGAAATATAAATTTAACACTATTGATATCTCGTATTGAACATGGTTTTAACACTACTGTGAACTATAGACAAATGATTGCTACATTACTGTTACTACCGCAAAATCGTTGTAACATTGTTCTTGCCGCTAAAAAGTATGATTGAAACACTTGTTATGCTTACACAGACAGTTTATTGCCGTTAGCAATAGACAATATTGTGATTCAAATTGACAAATACGTAAGTTGTAAAAAAAAAACATTATTGTGTTTCCAATTTTCTGGTACATTCTTTTGTGTCAAGTTACTACAATATCTTACGCGAGGAGGAAGACTCTTGCATTTACTTAACACAATTTTAATAGTAGAAGCTTCTACAACAGGTGTGTACATGTAGTGGAAAGAAAGCCTGAACATAAAAAACAAAGTTATAATCTCAAACATTTGAATCATATGAATTTTAAAACATAACTTCTATCTTTACTAGGGTACAGTTACTTTCTATTGTTAAGCTATACACCGATAATCAACTCATAAAGATGATAAGAGTGTTCACAAGCTTTCATATTACTGCTGATAACTTTCAACTGAAAGATGTACATTGTTATGACAGAATTTGTCAATTTAATAAACCTTAGGATTCATTATGAATTGATTTTCAATTGTTCATGTCCATGTTTAGTCAAATATCAATATATCAATTATTCATGTTTCGTTGTTTTGAATCATGTGAACAATAAGAATTCGTTAAAAGCGTATAAAAGCTTGTTGTATTGTATTTTAGCCGGTTAAACATACATTCCACTTGATCTTGACAACTCAACAAGTTAAACAAGCTGTTAATCCAAACGTTATTAGCGTTGAGCATAAGTACTTTAAAAGTGTTCAACAAGACTAAACCGAGGTTACGAGGAATTATTTGTCTTCAAAAAAAACCGTATTTGACTTTCATCGTTTAAGAACATAAGATTCGACTGTATATTTAAAACAGGCACTTATAACGAAAGTACAAGTTAAATGTTGATGCTGCACTTCAAAGACGCTACCAAATGATGTGAACAATCACATATAATGTTCGATATCAGCCTTGACAATTATTCTCTATTACAGTTGAATATCCGAGGCACTAATCATTTTAACTTGGTATGTGCTCGTTGTTTAATAAGTTGCATATATCTGTGAAAAAATTACAACCTAATGCATAAATTCACAAAGTAATACCATATCTGAAATTCTGAAATGTTTGTATGTTGCGACAAAGATTGAAAGGTCTGCTCGAAGCAAAGTAAATTGGATAACAAGTAAAAATAAAATGATTGGTATACTAAAATAAATTCTAGACAAAGACAGGCCATCTTGACGGCATATATAATCCTTCAAAACATTAAAAGTTTATAAAAATCCTATTGAATTTTAAAACAATCTTCCATTGTGATATTTAATTCAATATACAGAATAAATTTCAGTTAAATCATTGTAAATTATAAACATTCTGTGTGCTTTTTTTTACAAAATTATCTCCATTGCTCTGATATCCCGAATAAGTCTATTTCGCAGGCATGTATAACCTTCCAAAACATTAAAATAAAAGTGTTTCTTATTA